GCCGGGGTTCCAGGGGGAGCGGCCGCCGCCTCAGCAGCCTCCTCGTCGTCCGCCTCGTCTTCGTCTTCGTCATCGTCCTCAGCCTCCTCTGGGCCGGCCCTGCTCCGGGTGGGCCCGGGCTTCGACGCGGCGCTGCAGGTCTCGGCCGCCATCGGCACCAACCTGCGCCGGTTCCGGGCCGTGTTTGGGGAGAGCGGCGGGGGAGGCGGCAGCGGAGAGGTAAGGGGGCGAGGAACCCCCAGGTCCGGGGTCTCGACCCTCTGTGGAACCCCTCCCCTCCCCCATCCGGGATTGTGGAGCATCCCAATGCGGGGACCATCCCGGGGTCCCTAACCCAGGGCAGATGGCCCTCCCATTCCAGGACCCCCATGCGGGGGTGCAGACCCCCCAGCCGCCCCCACCCGGGGATCGGACCCATCTGGCCGAGGTTTGCCCCCCACCCTCCTTCCCTTGACCCTTCCCCAAATCCCTTGGCACAGACCCCTCGCCCGGGTTTCCCATCCCGGGACTGAACCCCTCCTCCCTTTCACAGATTACCTCATCCGAGCAAGATTCCTCCCTCCCTCCCTCCTAGAGACTTGATCCCGCCACATCCCCGCCTCCCTCTCTGGGCAGATGTTTTACTCCTGGGGCAGTTTTCCTCTTGGGTATCTCTCTGGTGATGGCCTCATCCAGAGCCACGTTCTTCTCCCACCCTTAGGGGCCAGTGTCGCTTCCAGCACCTTGCTTCCGAAAACCTGATGAACCCTCGCCCCATCCCCGGGCCAGGTCCCTTCACTACCAGCCACTCCCCCTTCTTTCACCTCCACCCGCAACCCCTACCCTAGCAGAAAGATCCTCCCTCATCCCGCCCTACCTCACAAGGAAAAATCTACTTTCCTCTCCACCTTGCCTCCCTTAACCTCCTTTCCCTCTGAAGATAACGGTGATCTCCTCCTACAGCAGTCTGTTTCCCCCATCTTACAGAGCTGCAGTTTCTAGCCTATTGGTAGCGGGGGATTACTCTACCTTCACTCCACCCTTTCCCTCCCTTAGAATGAAGGATTAGTGGCATCTTTGAGGGGAATATAGACCACTGTCCCCTAAGCTCAGAGAAGAGCAGCTTTCCACCATTCCCCCTGGAGAGAAGGCAGGCTTTCCCTCCAGCTCTGGGGAAGGGGGCCCCCGTGAGGGGAGGTGTTTATGGGGGGACTTGGGCAGCATCCTCCCAGGGGAAGCAGCTGCTCTCCTACCCCACCCACTGCGCCTGAGAGCACGCAGTCTCCAACCCGGGCTCCCTCCCGCCCTTCTTTTCTCCGTCATTTCATTATTGATCCACCTTTTCCTCGGCCAATCCTGGGGCTTGGAAGAGGTGAGGGAAGCAGGGTTGGGGTGAGGAGAGTAGATAAGGGACAGGTTTACTTTAGTGTGGTGGTGGTGGTGGTGGTGGTGGTGGTGGTTGCTTTTGGTTGGGAGAAAGAGGAGGGTTATGAAGCAAAGTTATTCCTTAGAAGGAGGAGTTAGGGTTATCTATCTCTCTGTTTCTTTTAAGGGGGACCCAAGGTGGATGAAGGGTTGCGAGCTTTGCTCCTTCCCCATTAGTACTGGGGCAAGAATGGGGATGCTTTGATAGGCATTATTCAGCCCCCTTCAGCCAAAAGGAAAGTTGCCCTGGGAAGGGAAGTTGAGTTCAGGTTCAGCCAGTGGCGTTGCGCATTTGTTTTCCATTGGATGCCGAAGGGGAGTTTGAACTGTAGGGGAAGGGGGAGAATGGGACGGGGGATGCTAGGAGGAGGAAGAGCAGCTGCTAGGGGCCGAAGCGAAGGGGGGTAGGGGGTTTGCTGCTCTGGAGTGCTCTTGATTGAAACAGAAAGGGAAAGATAACAACCAGCCGTTTCCTGCGTGCTCTGCCGTTGGTGCACACAAAATATCCTGGGCAAACCCCTCGTCCCCTATTGTGCCCCGCACCCCTTTAGATCTACGGAAAGATCCTGGGAAGAAGGGGAGGGAGGAGATCCCAGGGACCCCAGCCCCCTCCTTTCAAGGAGCTTGCATTTTTTAGTTGTTAGTCTTCCTGCCTCCTTTTTAAAATCGTTTCTAAGGCAGCCTGATCAGGAGACTGACAACAACCCGCCTTCTGACAGAGCAAGGAGGACATGATGGGGGCGTGTTCCTTGCTGTGTAGCTAGCTGCAGCGTCCCTTTTCCCTGCCTCTCTCTGCTCTCTCTCCACCTCCTTTTCCCAGCCTTCAGAAGGCAGCTGCAGTCAGCAGGGTTGTTTGAGACTATTTATTGGTTGCTGTAGATTATTATTTTTTTTTGAAAGGCCAATTCTGTATTTTTTAAGCTAACAACACAGATCCCATGTAGTTGGAGAACCAAAGGCCTCATACATGACAAAAAGACTGAACCGTTCAGGTTACTTGCATGGAGTTGGTGCTTAAATGTGAGTTGATTTTGCTTTTTTAAAAGATACAGCAGCAAAAAAAAAAAAAATAGACTTACTGACATTTCATTTACCTGCTTATTTTCAGAATTGAGACTTGCCTGGTTATATGCAGAATTTCAGCCCTATGTATATTTGAGTATAATAAGAAAGTCTCTATTAGGAAAAGTGAGTCTGTTCTAAGGGGGCCCTGAGAAGCATTTTCTTCTTGTTTAGCATGCTTATGTATTTTATATTGAAGGATCAAGTGTTCACATTCCAAATATTGTTATCACATATTCAAAAGCGAAGTTTTATGCTGACAGCTTCCAATCATATCTTTTCAAGAGACTGGTTAGAAAGAGAGCCACCTGGATTCAGGGACCTAATGTCTGGGCACCAGAATGTTTTATCTGTTGGTCTTTGACAAATCACCTTTAAAGTTTTAATCAGGTGCTAACATTTTCCTATCCACTGGCATTATTTTGCTGAGTAGTAGTATGTAGTGTAAAGTCAGTCAAGGAATTGCAGTTATTTCACACAAGAGCATATTAATACGTTTTTTTCTTTAAAACTTTTGCCTGAACAGTGGTTGCTACTTCATTATGAGAACAGTGATTGCCTCCTTACATTAAACTTCAGCATTTTTTCTGCATTAGGCTTGAATGAGCTGTTGTTCCATTGGCAAGCCTTTTATGTGGTAGTTTGAGGCAATCTAGTGTGGGTTAATGGTATGCGTTCATTAGTGCTAAACCATAGTGATTTATCCTTTGACCTGGTAGTTTTGAGTGTAGAAACCAAGCATTTTGTTACAGAGTCTTATAAATCAATGAAAAAGTTCCAAAAAAGGAGGTTTAGGGTCCCTTGGGCTGACATAGAATTCTAAAGATTGTTTTTCAGAATGTGTTCACAGATCTGTATCAACTCTTGTCTGGATTTGTGAAGAAGTGGTTTGCGATCCAAAATGATTCTAGCTTCTTTAAAATTCTGGTTTGCTTTAGGTGAATAATGCCTATAATTTCTCCATAATAAAACGTAAGTTAATACTTATTGAACTACTAAGTTAAGGTAATTGAAAGGTGACAGAACTTGTAGATGAGTTTAAACTCCTTTAACCTTAGAAGACTTGTCCTCCACTGCCACAGCTTCCCAAGTTCCCCCGGGTTGAATCTCTCTGAGTCATAAGTATATGTAAGGAAGGGTTCTTCCTGACCAAATTCTGTCAGAATGGGATTATTTTTAAAAATGTATAGGTGTCACTGGTCTCCTGTTGGGGCTTTCTGTGTCAGTTAGGAAGCAGAATTAAAGTTTTACTTGATTGAGTGCTGTAAGAAGTCACAGAGGTCTGCTCTTTTGCCTTCCCTCTACCCTGTGTAGCGTCAGTGTCCCATTTTTCTGAGGATTGTCTCAGGTGGTGTTTATACTACTCTAGTTTGCCATCTAAATAAGCATAGTACAGCATCCTCTCTGTTGACTAGAATTTGGGCCGTTTTAATATGAACCCCAGAAATGGTCAAATCATCAGCAAGTAGTCTTTGTTTATTAATTAGCATAATCCGGTTACCTTTCCTACCGCCTTACAGAATGTTAAAAGTGAAATTTCCAGCCTGATCATAACCTGGCAGACTTTGATTAGATATAAATTGGAAACTGAATTACAACATTGGCATGTATTTTTATTGGAAATGGCAGTTTAGTTCAGGTGGGCTAAGTGGGCTTTGGGTTGGGCTTAGAAAAGATGATGGTCCTGGAGTGGGAGAGTGGGATTTTATTTATTTATTTTTTTGGATGTTTGTTGGGCACATGTACCAAGAGTGGGAGTTGCTCCTCCATCGCCTTTGTAGCTACTCCTGAGCTGGGCAGGAGGAAAGTGAAGCAGAGAACACAAGTGGAAGAGAAGGAGCCCCTCCGAGTGGAAGTCAATGGACACGGGCTCTCCTTGTACTCGCCTCTCTCACTGACTAGTTTGGACAATTCACTTTTAACCTGAAATTTCTGATCTGTAAAATGAAAAGGTTGGGCTAAATGTCAGCTCAGGAATCTTCTCTGCTCCAGTATTCTGATTTCTTTCGATTATATTAGCTATTTGCTCAGGTCAGAACTTATTATTCTGAGTTTATTTAAAGAGTCAGAGTCAGTGAGCTTTAAAATATCAGATGTGCATTTGTCCACTTAACTGCCATTATTATTAGGAAGAGAAATTGGAACTTGATGGGTAAGTTTTCATTGTATGGACAAAATGTGAGGACTCAACTGTATGGAAAAAGTTCTTTGCTGAAGTTGACCAATTTCATTTATAAGAAAAATGAAGATAAAATTTTAGTTATAACGCATTACCTGGTGTGTAGAGGCCCTCTTATTTGGCTAAATTTGTTTTCATGCTTTCAGTGTTGTAGATTCCTGACTGTCCAAAAGGAAAGTTATTTTCAGTCTAGGTAGAATATTCCTTTAGATGTGTGAGCTTTTAGATGAGAAGAAAACCCCAGTATGCTAATGTATTTATAAATCCAAAGTGATAGTGTCTACCTTGCAAGGAGTAATTGTTAATATGCTCTGAAATGTACTTTGGTTTTTACTGAGCATGACAAATGCCATCTTTAGAACTTTTCTTCATCTTACTGAAAACCGTATCACTGGCCCCCATCTTCACCTTCCATTTAATTATCTTAAGGCACATGCTATTGTAGGAAATCATCGTTCACAAAATAGTGATTGATGTTCTGATTGGAAGTTGAGAAGAGAAAATACTCCCATCTTGACTCAGGTCCCATCGCTACTCACCTGGGGGCTGTCCCTCCACAGAGCAGCTGTGCAGACTCATTACCCATTGCCTTCCTTGCCCTGTGGCTAGAGGGGGTGGCGACACTGCTTTGCTTGCTCTGAGGCATAACAGACTGCACTGCCTCTCTGCTCTGGAGACTCACTGTTTTAATTGTAGGCCTCCTAATTAAGATCTCTTTGTGCCTGCCCACATTCCTCTAGTGTTGGCACAGAACTTCAGCTTCCTCCTAGTACTTAACTGAAGGCCTTCAGTCAGGCCTTTTGTGAATATCTTGTCTCTTTCCATTCTTCCTCTGCCAAGGTGGAGAGCCCAGCGGAATAGACCTTTGAGAAAGCAGGGAGCTTTGTGACTGTCACTGCTTTGGGAGGAGTTTACTCTAGAATTGCTGGGATGGGACCTTCTTTTGTTTGCGTATGTTATTTTCAGGAAGTAAGAAAGGTTAAATTACTAATGAGTCTGATATGAGGTATCTACATTTTCATCAGATTCTTAACCCTGTAGGTACTAGTAGGAAAGGAGAAGCCAAAGAGCTTACTGTTAAAGAGTATTTGTTTGAGTCTTATCTAAATGGGTTTAAAGCTTAGTAAATAAAACCTTATGGAGTCAGTCACAGACTTGTGACCTTTGTGGTTGGGAAGACAATGAATTAAGTGAAATTATTGATTGTTCCTAAGTTGTATCAGATTTTAAAACGTGGACTGTGAAAGTTAACTTTGAGATTTGAATTAACTGTTTTGATTAGAAAAGACTTCAGGAGGGTCTACAGATTACTGAGTTAATTAAGAAAAGTCTTGTAGCCTGCATTAGTTCTTGATAAGTTCAAGTATTGGCTAGGCTTCTAGAGTAGTTTTGGAATAAGAGACAATAATTTTTCTGGAAAATGTAGTTTCACTCTAGTTTCCGTTATGTTAGTACTTGAAATACAGCATATCTTTTAATGGATCTGTATGTGGCATGCTGGAGGAAATGCAGTCTTTATTAAGGAAAAGGAATCTTAAATCCTTCACCTGGACCCAGATGGTTTCATTGATCACATCAATATGAGACAGACAAAGGGCTACTTTTTTTTGTTGCTGTTGTTACTGTCATTTCATTGGTTGTGAAGAAGACCTGAAAGAAGGAAGTACAGGACCTTTATGGCACGCATGAAATAAAGCTGGAGCCTGCGCTCTTGTACCTGAGTGGGTGGTTTTATGGCCTAATTCTCTAATTGCTGGCATTTATGACAGTGGATGCAACTGGCCCTGTGGCTGAGGTGGATTATGTTGGGAATAGGGAGAGAAAAGGGGTCCTTTTGTTAGCCTTTTCATTTTCCCCCTCAATAAGTTCTCTGAGAAAGCCCCGAGGAAATACAGAGACACTTGGGCTTGAGGGAATGACATCCCATAAAATGGTTCTTTATGTTTTTAAAAAGGATGAGCTGCTTTTCTTGACGTATCCAAAGAAATCCATACCACCACTGTTAAATATTTCAAGGAGCTTTGTACCTTGTCAGGTTACACACCAAGGGAAGCCAACCAGGAGGCTGCAGCCACTGCCAGGCATTTGCTTTTAAAGACTAAGACATTTGAAAGAAGAATTTTGTTGTGTGATTTGTAGTGGTTTTGGATGATACACACCCCCTTGTATGATTAGTATAAAACTTCTCAGAGGCCGAACTTGGTTTAACTTTTTAGATGTTGAATATACTATTCTGATGAGTTTTAGTTTTAAAGAAACAGTTCGAGATATAAATGTAAGAGTTAGCTGACAGTTTTCTGTGCTGTGTATGAAAATTCCCCTTTCTTTGAAATGAGTAGTTGTTTTTCTATTTGACAAATAGACTGAAGGGATTTCCCCAGCTATTTTACCTTTAATCATCACTGCAGCAATGCCTTGTGCGACACCAGTGGTAGGATCTGTTCCACTGGCATTTATTTCTGGATTTGGAGTCTCTCTCATATAGTTTTATCTATTTTCTTGCACCTCTGTTTTTGTGTTTGGTTAGAATGTTTGGGTGTAGATGTGATGTCTTTCAGCAGTATGAGCTATGAACCTTTCTAACATTGAAACTGCTGTAGAGAGATCTAACCCTCACTATCCATGCTTTGCTGAAGCATCGTTGTTTCATTCTCATTTTACAGCATCAAAGTAATTGTGGCTTTCTGTCTTGAATTAGGAGAGTAATACAGCTTGTGAGGGGCATTTTGAGAGAATTTTTTTCTTTAAACTCTCCTTTGTATTATCTCAGCTCTGAAAACTGAGGAGAAGTTAATCACAAATACCTATAATAAATATCTACACCTAGGAACAAATATTTACACATGCTTCTATTCAACTTCTGTCCATCCATGAGTATTGACTGATTTTTAAATCAACCACAAACATACAACATTGTCCCTAGATTATTGCCTTTAATTATAAGAAGTAAAGCGTGTGGATAACATCTCTTTAAGCTTAGTTAATGAGGAAATCCTTTTGTAATCTCTCCAGCAAGGATTTTTTATTTGTGCATATATAAATACCTTTACAAAGGAAGGGCAGAATCTCATTATCTAATCTGTAATAGTGTGAGATAGTATGGCACAGTAATTAAGAGCTATTAAGACCACTCTGGCTCTGGATTTAGACTGCCTGGGTTCAAATCTTGGGTTCTAATAATGGCTCTACGATTTATTAACTGATTGACCTTGGAAAACTTTCTTAACCTCTCCGTGCATGAGTTTCTTCATTTGTAAATTATCAGTAATTGTGCTTCATAAGATTATGTGAGGCTTAATTGAAATTATGCATGCAAAGTACTTAGCACTTTGCCTGGTACATAAGAACCCCTAATTATTGTTAGGACTCAGATTTAAAGGACAGGAGTGCTTCATCTTTTCTTTTCCACCAAGATTACTGGTTTCTGTTACTTTGAGGTATACATATATATGTGTACATTTATATATACCTATTTGAGTGCTTATAATCTTGACTTTAGAATGTTTTTGATTTTGGTCTGGATGGTTAATTTCATCAGTAACCTAGATGGGACCAAACTGCAGCCAGCCACACATCTTGGTAACAGTGTATACCATTGATGTCCAGCTAGAATATAATTAGAGATAAGGCAAAAAGGGGCGGAAAAAGAACAAGACAGTAAATAGACAGGTAGGTAACCAAGGAATACAGTGCTTCCATGAATTGCATAATTATCAGGCCAGCTATTCTGGGGTTGCTACTCTTGGTCTCTGTAACTAGTGTTCCTTATCTTTTTGAGTATGAGTAGTTGGTGCTCTCTTGAAACAGCTCTGAGACTCTTCAGGGTTCTTGGCCCCCAAGTTCTGGTCCATTAGTCTATACTTGGTAACTATTTGACATTTGTTCTCAAGTTTCAGCTTGGGGAGAGTTAGCCTTGATCTACAGAGATCAATGTACTAACAAATGATTACAGAAGAAATGCTAAACTGTAGGTTGGAACTTAGCTTGAGAAATCAAAATAACAAGTAGAATAGTCAAAAACAAATTAAAAGTTTAAGAATAACTAGTATGCCTGAAGAGTTCTGTTTTATCTCATTAAAAAGAAAAGATTTACTGAAATGCCTGGTAACACCATCTGTTATAGATGAAGAAACTGAGGTACAGGCGAGTTAGCTTTCCTTAAGTTGTATGGCTTGTAAGTGGCAGAGCTGGAATTCAAATCCAGACCTATAACTGCTTGAAGGCTCATTCATGCTCTTTGCACTGTGCCACCTTCAGTCCCTTTCTCTTCTCACCCCAACCAGTCAGTTTCTGAGGCTTGTCCATGATGGCGTTGGAGTGCTTCTTTAATCTGTCCTTGCTTTTCTGTTTTTACCATCCTACTTTAAATTTCCATTACCTTTGCATGAATTGTAATTATAATCTCCTAACTGGTCTCCCTGCCTTTCTTTTCACTGTATACAGGGTTGCCAATGGTTTTCTTAAATACAGATCTGATTCTGTCACTTTATTCCTAAAACCCTTTGACTTCTCACTGAATATGAAATAAGACTTAAAATTCTCAGCCCTTGATAATCTGGCTGGCCTACATTTCTACATTTTCAACATTATCTCCTGAACACACATTTTTCACTTAATGTGCTTCAACCACATTGGACTACCAGCCTATTAGAGGTTCTCCACAGTCTGTGTGTACCAGCCTTTATACCTTAGCTAATGCCTCTCCTTTGCCTTAAAGTCTTTCCCATCTTGGCCTACCTCTGGCTTATTCACCATTCATGGCTGTTCAGATCCCTAGGTTCCAGCTCTTCATGAAACTTTTTAAGATACCACTACTAGTTGAAATTCAGCTTCTCCTTTCCTGTTTTCTTATTGAACTTTATACCTACCGTTAAAGAATTTGCTCCAGGATACTCTGTGTTATAAATACTTTTTGATCGTGTCTGTCTTTCCCCCATTAGCTTATGATTTCCCTAAGACATAAACTATTTCTGAGTCATTATTTATGTTTTATATTGTTTACAACGGTGACTTTTCATATAGAAAGAAGGTGATCAGTGAATGTTTGTTGAATGGAAAGTTTGGTTTATGCACAGCTTTTAGGAATACTTTGCAAGGGCATAGCATATAAGCTATTACGTGGTTCAAGACTATTAGCAGGATAATTACGAGTCATTTTTAAGTGTGGCAGAGGACAGTCTTAAGAGCCATCAAAGGACATTTTTGTAAAAGTACTGATTGGGGCTTTACAAGTGCTGTTGAGGAATGCTGATGGGATGGCACCATCTCTTATATAGATAATGCTGGCGCTGATCACCCCCTTACTTGAGTGTTGTTTCCATTTCTAGGTTCCTCAACTTAAAAGGGATGAGGAGACCTTGGAGACGGTTCTGAGGAGACTCAAAAGATGATTATATGATTGGAAGTCAGTCCTATGAGGAAAGGTTGGGAGATGGAAGGTTAAGAGGCAACTTAATAACTCTGTAAAAAACATAAATGGATCCTTTATTAGGCATGGTGACCAGCTGTTTTCCAGCTTCATTGATGCTAGAAGAAGAGAAAAATAGGTTTAAATTGAAGCAAAGGGTCGTTGTGTAAAGAACTTGTTGCTAATGATGGTTGTCATTATGGTGATGGTGCAAAGTTTACCAAAATAATTTTATGATCTTCTCTGGAGGTGAATTTTATAGTACATT